GATAGAGCCTGGTGGAACCACTGAGACTATGGTCCCTATCTACCCTTCAGGTCTGGAATTGAAACCACACCTGTAGCTTTCAGCCAAACAAAAGACAGGCATAATAGTTGAACATGTACGTTAGGTAGATACACTCCTCGAGAGAACAATCATGGGAGAAAAAGGGCTGTTTATGCACAGGCAGACGGTTCAGGCGGCAGGAGTATATGGAGGGATGGACACAGGGAAGAGGTAACTATCAGGAGGAAGTGTGGGGGGCAGTTGTTGCATTGGAGTAAGTTGTAGTCAATGTCATGAGACAACGTGTGTGTGAACTGCTGTATGTAAAGTGAATTTGTTCTGTAAACTTCCACCCAAATCACAATAAAAAAGAAAAAAAATTAGATCATTTAAAAAAGGAAACAAACAAAAACTGGCTATTTCTCAGGACTGAAACTAAAATTCTCAGTGCAGTTTTAAATTCTGATTTTTTTTTGTTCTGGATTTCTTCCCATGATCCCATTATAGCTTATCAGTCTTCTGCCAGTTGACCTTGGACTTTAACAGTTTGTAAAAATGTCTTGCCCCTAATCAACTGTTACTCAAAGTTACATTTCCCAGAGGATGTTAGAAGACCATCAAGGGAGCTTATTTAACGGTCATAAAAGTATCTTTTGTCTTTATTTTTAAGTTTTGAATAAAATTTCATATATTATTTCATTTAATCTTCACAAGATCTAATTAAGTAATCCATTATGTAAGCACAATTATTGTTACTAGCTGCCCTTGAGTGGGCTCTGACTCACAGAGACCTTATGTATAGCAGAACAAAATAGTCCCTGCTTCTATGTCACCTTCCTGATCATTCTATGTTCGAGTCCACTGTTGTGGCTACCAGACAGGTAGGGCTGGCTGAATCAGGCAGCCTCTGACTCAGTATTCTTGCTGCCCGCAACAGAGAATTACTGGCAATTAACAAATCAGGCCCTTAGGCAAGAATGTTATGCTTCAAAAGCTCCACAAGCCTGACCATTGTAAAATGCTGATAAACTTTCTGAGTGTCCTTCAAGTACCTTGCCTGGTGGAGAACATGCATAGTAGAATTTAACTTGACTGACAAAGTGACCTTCCACCAGAGACAGCCAAGAACAGGAATCCCTCCCCAGGACTCAATCAGAGTCCAGAGACATCATACATGTGCAACATCCCATAATAAGTCATGGCAAGCATTCCAGCAGCCTTGCTATCAGTTCCATCTTTGTTCCAACAGCCTTTGCAGTGGAATCAATCTTGGCTACTTTCTGTGCATATGTCTGATTTTCGTAACCCCACCCTTCTCCCCCCCCCCCAAACCCTGCCTATTTTATGAATAAAGATGATGCCTTATTCTTGCCTAAAACCCTAGGAAATCCTTTGTTCATTCAGTGAGAGACTGGAGGCTAAGGTAAGCCAAAGCCCTCCCTCTCTCTAATACACTTTGGTTTATGTGGACATTTTGCCTCTTCTGTTCAATTCTTTGTCAGGAGGAGGAAAGGACACCTGCTCAGAGTTCCAGGACACCGCTAACAGCTATCATGTCAATTCATCTCATTGAGGGTTTCCCTCCTTTCCACTTTACCAAACATAATGTCATGTTCTAGTGATTGAACTCTCTTGATGAGTATCCAATATAAATGAAGTCTTACCATTCTTACTTCTAAAGAGCATTCTGGCTGTATTTCTTCTAAGACTGTTTTATTCATTCATCTAGTTGTTGTTGTTATGTGCTGCTGTCGAGTCGGACTCTACTCATAACGACCCCTCCTTGGGTTTCCAATCTACAGAAGTAGATTGCCCAACCTTCTTTCCGAGAAGTGGCTGATGGGTTTGAACCGCCAGCCTTCTGGTTAGCAGTCAAGTACCTTAGGCACTATGCTACCAGAGCCCCTCATTCGTCTGGTGGTTCATGGTATATTCAATGGTCTTTGCCAACAACACAATTTGAATGCATCAATTTTTGTTCTCCTTTTTCACCGTCCACCTTTCCTATACATATGAGGAATTGTTTGGGTCAGGTGCATCCTAGTCATCAAAGTGACATCTCTGCTTTTTAAAACTTTAAAGAGGTCTTTTGCAGTACAGAGGATCTGGCTGCTAACCAAAAGGTCCAAAGTTAGAACCCACCAGCTGCTCTTTAGGAGAAAGATGAGGCAGCTTGCTTCCTTAAAGACATTCAGCCTTGGAAACCATCTAGGCAGTTCTACTCTGTCCTATAGGGTTGCTATGACTCAATCTACTGCAGTGGGCTTGGTTTTGGTTTGCAGTACAATTCTTTTTATTTTTGCAGTGTTTCCTCTGCAAGGAATTGCAGTAAAATTCCTATCTCTTTTTCAAATGAGAAAACTTATGACACAAGTTGAGTAATTTGAGGAGCAATTGTTATGGGTTCAGTTTAAAATAATAGCCACTGTAATGTCCACTTTTGGTTAAAAGAGTTTTATTTAGGCTTGCCGACTGCAGGGAGCTGAAACATGCTCCTACGCTGCAGCAACAAGTTTGATTTTAGGTACGCTTTATAAAGCCAAAACGCAAGCAGGCAAGCAAGTGATAATACAGAAGCAGATGCTGCAGTTGCAAGGACTCAGAGTACGTGTTTTAGGACAGGCGTTCATGGGGGAGGGTAAGGGAAGTTAGTTCTGATAACCACTTTCAGAGTATGAGGGCACAGGCGTTCATTGAGGGGTGAGGAGAATTAGTTCTGATAACCACCTCAGAGTACGTGCTTTAGCACAGGCATTCATGTAGGGATGTTTTAGTTTCTTAATATGCAAAAAGGGGGGTTACCCCTTAACCCACGGGGAGTGAGGGCAGGATGAGATGGTCACTTCAGTTACATAAAATGGAGTTTTAGTAAGATATTGCCAGTTATAGCTGGACATTACAAAAATAGAGTTACAAAGTGGAGTCATTCACTTCACAGTCAGTACTAAGTAATTAAACGACAGCTATAGAGTAGCGAGCTCTGGCCGTAAGAGTGAGGAAAGGACAGTGTAGGAAGCCTGATTCCTGGTTTGTGTTAGCTTTTCTATTCAGGCCAATTATGTTTTCTGTTCCTTTATGTGGCTTCCAATGCCCAAATCCTGTGTGGTTCAGAGGTGCGGTAGAAAGAGCCCTGGTTGGGAGTTCGTAGAAGGGATCCACTTTAGGTTGCTATTGCTTACTGTACTATCTTCAGGAAGTCATTCAGCTTTACCGGACAGGTTTCTTCAGTTGTAAAAGAGACAGCCGGCATTTCAGGTAAATTCACAAATTCTGAATTTTGTGTGGACACTCAAGAACTGTTCAAAGATTGCGCCGCCACACTGCGTTCAACACATTCCAGAGCACGATGGAGTAGGATCCAAGAACTTTATATTTCTGCAAAGCAATGATTTCTTCGAGCTTCCCTTGCGCCAGCCATCTACACTGCCCCACGCCCCTTCAGTCCCATCCTCAGGCCCTCCCCTGCCCCACCTCCCAGCCACCCTTCAGTTGTTATGGAGATGCAGGACGCTAGAGTGGGTTTACCACCCTCTCGCGGAACTCCTGGGGGGAGGGGCAAGTGAAAACGCATGCGCATTTTCGGTCGCGAAGGCGCCCCGGTGGCTGCCGGGACTCGGCTCCTAGCAGCCTGATCAGGAAGTGGCGGGCGGAGCCCGGGTCCGAGTCGCCACCTCAGCCGCAGTTGCCAGTGCCTAGACCCCGACCTGGCGGGTCTGCGCTAGGCGGGCGTGCGGGCAGGCGGGGGCGCTGACGAGGAGCAGGAAGGGGCAGCTGCTTGTGCTTGGGCGGCTTGCTTAGGCGGAGGCGCAGGGGGGCGGCGGGTCGCGTGGGGCCGCTCTCCTCGAACAGGTAGGGGCTGGGGCCGCCGGGTGAGGGGCACGGAGCCCTGGCCTGTTGTTCCTCGGACGGGGAAGCGCCACCACCTCCCACAGGGCTGAGGGTGTCTTCACTCCCCCGGAGGCTGGGGCTGCGGTTCTCTAAGCGAAACAATGAAAGATTGTAACAATTCCTTGGGAGCTTTTTGTTTTAGGCCAGAGCGTTAACTGAGTAAAGTTTTGGGTTGTAAGGGGGAAATTCACAGTCAGAAAACTGGTGAATCTCGTACTCCCCCAAGTTTCCATTAGCAGTAGCAGAGCGAATCGTGTGTGTGGTTTCGGGAACCACGGTGTGCAGACAAATAAAAACTGTAATTTAGATATTCTTACACGGACTATTTTTTAAGCTGGCGTCTGGAAACCTAGTTTGTAATGATCCTTAACTTTTAATTAAGAATCATTGTTTTCCATATGGTCTAAAGACATTTTCCAGAAACAGCACTGCGGCACCTTTTCCGCCCAACATTGGAGAGCACTTTTCTGTTTCTTGGTGTTCTTAGGTGCCAGTGGCACCTCTGAGGCTTAGGCAGGAAAGAAGCAAAAGAGAGGAAAAGGGGAAAGGCTAAAAGAAGCGAATGGTGTGGTGGAAAGAATGTGGCTTTTGGAGCCAGAAGATTTTGGTTTAGTTTTGACACGTCAATTCTCTGAACCTGTGTGGTGGTGTTTTTTTTTAGACGTAAGATGGTGATGTACCCCATCTGTTTTAATACAGTTTAGTACAGAGATGTGAAACTCAATACGAATATTGAGTAGTCTGCTGAGAGAAGAGGAAAAGTTAGGTGTACCATGCGGTGGTGAAAGATACTGGTAAGCCTGCGCTAAGGAACACTGGTGGTGTAGTGTATAAAGCATTCGGCTGATGACCAAGGTGGAACTCACCAACTGCTTGGCGCAAAGAGATGAGGCAGTCTGCTTTCCTAAATATTTACAGCTGTGGAAACCCAGTGGGAGTCTGTGAGTCGAAATGGACTGGATGGCGGTGGATTTGGTTTGGTTTTGGTTTTCTGCTCTAGGTGTCATTATTGAATGTTACCTGTACTACAACCAGGTGGCCTTTGTTGTAGAGGCCTTTACCAGCATTTTACATCTGGTGTAAGGAGCACTTGACTACAAGTCAGGATATTCTTGGTCTTAGCCCGAGTTCTCCCAGTTGTGTGAGGTAACCCTACCTCTTCACTTCAGATTTCACTTACTAAAACAGGAATAAAAGAAATACCTTCTTGCCTCATAGTGTTAGGCTTTGTAAACTGTATGGCTTTTTTTTTTTTTTTTTAAATTTGTGTTTAAATCATTATTAAAAGCCCAGATTGATAACTTTTATACCCAAGGTGAAATTGTGATATAACTGCTACCTGTTTTAGAGTTTACAGTCTTCTGTTACCCTCACCATATCACTTGTGAATTCTCATTTCTTCTTCCTCTTACACTTTGCTTTTCCCCAAGACTCTTTCCTGCCTTCCTTACCCCAGTATAATCATTTGGTTATCTCTTGTGAGATTCAACTCAAAATGGTAATTCTGAAATGATAACATTTGTATAGTGTGGTGTTTTACTGTTTAAAAATCGTTTTCACATTTTTTTAAATTTTATTTTTACAGTTGAGCTAGATGTAGACAATATTGGTAGCATCCTCATTTTACTCATGATAAAATGGATTTGGAGTGGTCTAGAGGATTGTTCGGAGCTCTGGTAGCATAGTGCCTAAGGCACTTGACTGCTAACCAGAAGGCTGATCCAAGGAGGGGTCGCTATGAGTCATAGCCCGACTCATGGCACATAACAACAACAACAACAACAACAACAACAACAACAGAGAATTGTTAAGGATCCTGGGTGCCATTTGGCTGCTAACGGAAAGGGCAATGGTTCAAATCCACCAGCCTCTCTGCAGGAGAAAGAGGAGGCTATCTGCTTCCATGAAGATTTACAGCCCTGGAAAACCTTTGGGGGCAAGCTCTGCTCTATGGTATAGGGTCTCTGTGAGTTGGAATCCACTTGATGGGCAGTGGCTTTGATATTTAGAGGATTTCCTGGGAATTGGAACTGAAACAAGAAGTTTAGCTTGTAGTCCAGTGTCTCTTCATTCTTAACTGAAGGTCCTTCTGATGGTTTCTTATCAGTACTTTTATTTTTAATTTGTAGTACTCCAAATCATTATGTATTCATTGCTTTTAAGCAAGGTACTCAGTGCTTTCATGTTCTCAAATGTAAGCTGTTTACAGGCAAGAATTTATTTTCCAGAACCTTTAAAGCTTTCAGTACAGTGCCTCACAAATAGAAGACATTTAATAAAAGCTTATAAAGCTAGTAATAACAAGACTGGAACAATTTAAAGATGTTTTTCCATTCATTATTCATTTATCAAATATTTCTTGAGCTACTCTGTGCTTTACTACGGGCTTTTAAAGTATAAGGTGGAGTCCCTGGGTGGAGGCAGTGGTTAAGCACTTGACCAGTTACCAAGTTGCCTGGCTGTCTGCTTCTGAAAAATCAGCCGTTGAAAACCCTGTGGAGTACAGTGCTATTCTGACACACATGAGGTTGCCCTGAATCGGAATTGCTTTGACAGTAGCTAGAAAAGTATAAAATGTGGGAGCAGTGGTGGTTTAGTGGTGAAATCTCACCTTCCATGCAGAAGACTCTAGTTTGATTCCTCGCCAGTGTACTTCTTGCTCAGCTACCATCCACCTGTCAGTGGATGCTTGAGTGTTGCTATAATGCCAAACAGGTTTCAGCAGATCCTATAGACTAAGACAAACTGGGAAGAAAAGTCTGGTGATCTACTTCTGTAAATCAGCCAGTGAAAATCCTGTGGCTCACAAGGTCACAACAGTCTGATCTGCAGTCGATCATGGGGGTGGCACAGGACCAGGCAGCATTTCATTCCATTGTGCATGGGGTCTTCAAGAGTGGGACGCCAACTTGATGGCACCTGTTTCTAACATCAACAAAGTGTAAGAGTCCTTTTTCTCTAGGACCTGCCTTCCCAATTTATAGACACTAATCTTACCAGTGTCAGTCACTTATGTAGTCAGCATGAGCTCTTTCTAGACCCTTTACAGGGCTCTAGGAGAAGTTCAGACAAGAGAGTCATTCATGTTGATTGACCTGTACCTTCTGTGGTTGTACTGAAGTTGATTAGAATTGCAGAGTTTTAGAATTGAGGAAACAACAAAAAAACAACTGAAGAGGTCATTTAGTCTAACCTGCCAAATCAGGATTTTTCTGTAGACATTCCTAACACATACTCATCCAGCCTCTTAATCACTTAAGAATTGAGAGTTTACCAGTTTTTAAAATACATACATCATTTCATTTATATGCAGTTGTGATTGTTCTCTCTTTTTTGTGGTAATATTAAATTTGTCTCCTAATTTCTGCCCATTTGTCCTGATGTTTTCTAGAGCATTGCTGTTCAGTAAAAATATGATGTGAGATACAAGTCTGAGCCTTACATGTAATTTTTAGTTTTCTAGTAGCCATATTAAAAAATAAGAAATAGAGGAAATTAATTTAAATATTTTATTTAGCCCAATATATCAAAAATTACATCATTTTAACACATTATCATTGTAAAATTGCCCAGTAATTTTTTATGTTTTCTTTGTACTGTTTGAAATCTGATATGTATTTTACACTTTGAGCACATTGCACTCTAGACTCGACTCCTTTCATGCGCTTAATAAGCATATGTGACTGGTGGCTACTGAATTGGATAGTGCAGTTCTAAAGCTTCAGAAAACAATTTTGCTTTTCTCTACCAGTTTTAGTTTTAGCACAGTGCTTAGCACATGTTGTTGTGTGCTGTTGAGTAGATGTGGGCTCATAGCAGTCCTGTAGAACAGAGGCTGAAATTATGGGAGCAGGTTGCCGGGTCTTTTCTCCTGAGGAGCAGCTGGTGACGTGAACCACTGACAGTGCAGTTAGCAGCCAAGCACTTAACTATTTCGCCACCAGAACTCCTTGCTTGGCACATAATAAGCACAAATTAAATATTGATTGAATGAATAAATGAATAAGTACAAGTTCTAGAGAACTAATAATAAAAGATAATGTTGTTTGGGTAGTAACTTGTTGAGATCTATGTATCTGGCATACAGATTTGAGTAACTTACTTTTATTTTTATTTTTTATCTTTGCAGCATTATGGATCCAAGCCTGCTGAGAGAACGGGAGCTGTTCAAAAAACGAGCTCTTTCCACTCCTGTAGTAGAGAAACGTTCAGTGTCTTCTGAGTCTTCCTCTTCCTCCTCATTATCAAAGAAGAAAAAAGCAAAGTTAGATCATGGAGGGTCATCAGGCACCAAACAAAATTCTGGTTAGTGGATTGTACTGTATGGTACTGTTGCCTTTTTATTTTTCAGAAAAGTGTTTAGTCATGGTAAGTTCATTGCCAGGTTCAACATTCGTATTTATTGTTAGGCACTGTATTAAAGTGCAAGGGTTGGAAAGAAAACACTTTTGCTCTTAAGATGCTTATAGTCTTAGGCTGTCATTAAAATTTAGGTAAATAGCTTCTTTTGAAAATTTTTCTGAGGTACAATTTATATATCATAAAATTCTCCCATGTTAACACATTCCCCCATTTTAACTTGTATGAGAGCACTACTGTAAAAAAAACAGAAAGAATCATTCTTTGAAGGTTACCGGGGGTGGGAGAAGAAGGGGCAGGTAAATTACTAACTAGAAGTAGATACCTATTAACTTGAGTGAAGGGAAAGGTAATATAAAAGAAGGGAGAGTTCATTACAAAATTATCAAAGCAGTGGAAGACACAGGGAGGAACATAATAGTTAAAGGCAACAAAGGTAAATACTGTTACATTCACAATCCTGCAAAAACAGTAATAACAATAATCTACAAGCGGATACAAGACAGACACTCAAGCTGAACAGTAGTGGAAGGTGAATGGGACTGCACCCATGAAGATGTATATAGGTTTGACAGAGGATAAATCTACCTGTGTATTTATATGTGTTGCAGATATATCCATGAATGTAGTAGAGCATATGGGGCAAAGTTACGAAAATTTCTTAGTTATAACCAAACCCTTTGAAGAGTGGTGTAACTCTGGAGATTATGGCCCTTAGATACCCTTTAAACTAGGAGCTGAACTCAACCCCTGTGGGTCACCTTTCATTCAATCGATAGATAGGCCTGTAAGGTAATAACAGTAATAACAGAAGGGTATGCGCTCATTAGAGTAGTCAGCTGTATGAGTTCAAGAGGGCAGCATTCACTTAGGGATAGAGCTTGGAAAGCTGAAGATAGAAGAGGATGGGAAGGAAGGACAGAAGAGAGCAGTGGGCACGATGAGGAAGTGGGAAGACAGCTGTTGCATTGAGGGGATTATAGTGAATGTCACCTAAGAGTGTGTATGGATTGTTGAATGAAAAACCAATTTGCTCTGTAAGCTTTCACCCAGATCACAACTAAAAAAAAAAAAAAAAAAAAAATTGCCCTTTTTTTAGGTGTACATGTAAGTGATTTAGTAAATTTGCAAAATTGTGCAACCATAACCATAATCCAGATTTAGAACATTTTCATCACCCTCAAAAGAACCCCTGTACCCATTTGTAGTTACTGCTTGTCTCCACAGCAGCTCAGGCAACCACTGATGTACTTTTTCTCTATATATGATCTTCTGAATATTTCATATAAATGGAGTCATAAAATACATAGTCTTTTGTGTCTAAATTCTTTCTCAGCATAATATATATTTATATATTCTTAAAGCTTTATTAAGGTATGATTTACATACCAGAAAATTCTACCATATTGAGTGTACAAGTCAGTGATTTAATAAATTTACAGAATTGCTCAACCATTATCACAATCCAATTTTAGAACTCTTCTGTTACCCCAGAAAGATCTCTTGTGACCATTTGTAGTCACTCCTTCCTACCCCAGCCAACCACAAATCTACTTTATGTACTTATAGATTTGCTTTTGTGGGCTATGCATATCATTGCTCCATACCACCATCTCCTCTAGCCCTAACCAACCACTAATATGCTTTCTGTCCCTGTATGTCTTTTATGCACATTTCACATAAATGGAATTGTATAGTATGTAGTATTTTTTTGCCTGGGTTCTTTCACTTGGTATGTTTTTCAATTTCATCCATGGTGTAACATTTTATTGCTGAGAGTACTCCAATATATGGGTATACCACAGATTTTTATTTTTATTTTTAACAATAAATTGGTTTCCATTTGATGGTTCATACACATTTTGGTCCATGGCATTGATTGTAATCCCTGCACTGTAACAGTATTCTTCCTACTTACTCCCTATAGTTAACATTTTCTTTTTTCCTTCTTTCTTATCCGTTCCTGCCCTTTTGAGCTTTATCCCTGGGCAAATGCTGCTCTTTTGATCACTTATGTTTGATTGTTCTAAGGAGTGTATACCTCCTGGGTGGTGCTGCTCACCTCATAGGGCTGTTGTTTTGACTGTAAAGTTAGCCACGGGAGTGAGGTCAGTTCTAGGCCCGAGGGTTGATGAAGGGTCATAGTTTCAGGGTTTCCATCAATTTCTATCAGATCAGTAGGTCTGGTCTTTTTTGTTATTTTGAGATTTGATCCACATTTTTTTTTTCACTCTATCCAAGATCTCCTATTATCCCTTTCAGAGTGGTTGGCAGTGGCAGTTGGATACCATCTATTTCTGTTCTCAGGATCATATACCACAGTTTGTTTATCCATTCATAAATTAATGGACATTTGGATTACTTTTTGGCTTTTATGAATAGTGTTGCTATGAACATTCATATATAAGTTTTGTATGGACGTGTAGTTTTATTTCTTTTGGATAGATGCCTAGGAATTGAATTGCTGGGTCACGTGGTAAACTTATATTTAAGTTTTAAGAAACTATCAAATTGGCAGCAGCATTTTATATTCTCATCAGTAGTGATTAAGGGTTCTCATTTCTTCACATCTTTGCCAAAATTTGTTATTCCCTGCTTTTTTGATCATAACCATTCTAGTGGGTGTAAAGTGATATCATTGTGATACTAATATGTATTTATCTAATTACTAATGATGTTGAACATCATCATTTCATGAGCTTGATGACTGATCATTCTTATATCATCCTTGGTGAAATGTCTATTTAAAGTGTTTTGCCATTTAAAAAAATGGATTATTTATTTTACTGATTTATAAGAGTTCTTTATAAATTCTAGAATTCCTTGATCAGATATATGATTTGCAGATATTTTCTCCAAGCTTGTGATTTGTCTTTCTACTTTCTTAATGGTGCCTTTTGATACGCAAAAGTTTTTACTTTTGATGAAGTACACTGTGTCAACTTTTTCTTTTTAATCACTTGTGGTCTCATGTCATATCTAAGAAACTTTGCCTAATCCTAGGTCATGAAAATTTATTCCTACATGTTTTTCTAGGAGTTTTATAATTTTAGCTGTTTTATTTAGATGTATAATATACCTGAATTGATTTTTCATTTATTTCGTTTTTTTAAATATAATTTTTTATCTTTTTTTTTTTTAATTGTGATTTGGGTGAAAATTTACAGAGCAAATTCACTTTCCATACAACAGTTCACATACACTTTGTCTCATGACATTGACCACAATTTACCAGAATGCAACAGCTTCCCTTCTCCTTCCTTCAGATAGTCACCTTTTCCCTGTGTCCATCCCTCCATGCAACCCTGCCCCCTGAGCTGTATGTTATGCCAATTGAGCTTGCTGTCCCCTGTGACTATGGTCCCAAGCCCACAGGTTCAACTACTTGCTCCCTCTGGATAGCTGGCTGTGACCAAGAAGTGACTACAGCCTTGTCCCTTGTCAGCTCTATTGTACACCTGGAAATTCTTACAGAACATACAAATACACTTGTAGAACCACTGTCTGCCAACCCTATACATGGTCTTGGGTACACTCCCCGCTGCATAGACATACCTAATAGTTCAGCCTCTCTCCCCATCTAGCCATCTGTATACCCATGTTTACCTTCACTTATAATGCAGTATTATATGTACAAAAGGGTTCATCTTTGTTGTCTACACCTTCCATGTACCTCTCTATGTTTTCCTCTTCCTCAGTGTCACCATATTGATCACTCACATTTGGTACATTGCCCTTCTCTTCACCCAAATCAATACTTATCTCTATCTACCTAACAGTATTCCCTCCCTTCCCCTCCCCTCCCACCCCTGCTAACCAACAAAGAAAATTTCCTTCCATAGATAAACCTTTCCTTGATTTTTACAATAACAGACTAATACAATATTTGTCCTTCTGTGATTGACTGACTTCACTCAGTTCATTTATTTTTTGAAAGTAGTTCATTTTGTTGAAAATACACACAGCGTAGCATATACTGATTCAGCAATTTCTAATTGTACAGTTCAGTTACATAGATTACATTTTTGAAGTTGTGCAAGCATTCCCTATTTTTCTGAATTGTTCCTCCTCCATTAACATAAACTCACTGTGCCCTGAGCTTCCTATATAACCTTTTGAGTTGCTTTTGTCATTTTTAGATAGCATATAGATAGTTCTTTAAAAGAACAGTGCTCAAGGCAGACATTCTTTACTTAGTAAGCTAAACTATTGCTTTGTTTAAAGAAGATTTCAAGGACTATGTGTGGTAAAAGGTTTAAGGTTTATCTCAGGGCAGTAATTTTGGGGGTTCATCCAGCCTCAGTGATTCTAGAAAGTTTGGGTTCCATGAGAATTTGAAATTCCATTTTTCATTTCTCCCTTTTGATCAGAATTATTCTATAGAATCTTTGATTGCTATTTATGGTTCAACATAATTTAATAGATTATTTATTTATTTATTTATTTGGTGTATAGGTATTTAGGAGCTCTGGTGGTATAGTGCCTAAGGGATTTGACTGCTAACCAGAAGGCTGGCAGTTCAAACCCACCAGCCACTCCTTGGAAGGAAGATTAGGCAATCTACTTCCCTAGAGGTACTGTAGCCTTGGAAACCCAAGGAGGGGCTGCTATGAGTCAGATCTAACTCAACGGCAGTGAGTTTGGTTTTTGGTTTTTTTTTTTTT